GTCTCACTCTTGTTCAGGTGGGTCTCAAACTCCTGAGCTCAAGCAATCCTCCTGCCTCGGCCTCCCAGGGTGCTAGGATTACAGGCCTGATTCCCTATGCCCAGCCTCTGTCCTATTTTCTTCTCATATCAATGTTTCCTAGGTGCCATAAATCCAATCTGCTTGTTTGCTAAACAGATCTGGTGTCTCCAAGGTGACAGCTAACACCAAACAACCTACTGTGTGTGCCGATCCCTCCTGCCTTATGTAGCAACATGCCTGGAGACAGTCCCCCGCCTCCCCGTCAACAAGGCCTTCATATGTGTGACACCCCACGGGTAGGCAAGATCTGCCCCCACCGTTGCATGGCTATCCCTACTGAACAGGTCTCTCTGCAGCCAAACTCACTTAAAAAACTCATTGCATTGATACCATGCCTCTTTGAATATTTTTATTCCAAAGTCTGAAATCTGAATAAGGTTTTTCAGATTCATCTTTATTTTTTTATTTTTTTCTTTTAGCGTATTATGGGGGCACAAGTGTTAAGGTTACCTTATATTGCCATGTCCCCACTCGAGTAAGAGCTTCAAGCATGTCCATCCCCCAAAATGTTGCACATCTTACTCGGTTGTGGTTGTATCGATAGGATCACTCCATCCCCTCCGCCGTCCCACCCACCCGATAAATGTTACTCCTATATGTCCACTTAGGTGTTGATCCGTCTAATACCAATTTGCTCGGTGAGTACATGTAGGTGGCTTGGTTTTTCCATCTTGAGGAACACTTCACTTAGATAGAATGGGAGCTTCCGCTCGTATCCAGGAATATATCACAAGCGGTGCATATCCACCATGTTTGCTAAGCTGAGTAGTACTCCATGGATATACATATACCACATTTTATTAATCCACTCATGACTGATGGGCACTTGGGTTGTTTCCGCACAGCTTTTGCGATTGTGAATTGTGCTGCTATAAACATTCGAGTGCAGGTGTCTTTTTCATAAAGTGACTTTTGATCTTTTGGGTAGATGCCCAGTAGTGGAATTGCTGGATCAAATGGTAGATCTACTTGCATTGCTTTGAGGTATCTCCATATTGCTTTTCCACAGAGGTTGAACTAGTTTGCAAGTCCCACCAGCAGTGTACGGAGTGTTCCTTCTCTCCACATCCCATGCCAGCATTTGTTGTTTGGAACTTTTTTGATATAAGGCATTCTCACTGGAGTTAAGTGATATCTCATTGTGGTTTTGATTTGCATTTCCCTGATGATTAGAGATGTTGAACATTTTTTCATATGTTTGTTGGCCATTACTGTGTCTTCTTTTGAGAAGTTTCTGTTCATGTCCTTTGCCCATTTTTTGATTGGGGTTGTTTGATTTTTTTCTTGCTGATTTTCCTGAGCTTCTAAATAGATTCTAGTTATCAGCCCTTTATCAGATGTGTAGCTTGCAAAAATTTTCTCCCATTCTGTGGGTTGTCTGTTTGCTCTCTTGACAGTTTCTTTGGCTGTGCAGAAGCTTTTTAATTTCATTAGGTCCCATTTGTTTATTTTTGTTGCTGTTGTAATTGCCTTTGGGTCTTCTTCATAAATTCTTTGCCTAGGCCAATGTCTAGAAGAGTATTTCTAACATTTTCCTCTTGAATTCTAATAATTTCACACCTAAGGTTCAAGTCTGTTACCCAGCGTGAGTGGATTTTTGTGAGAGGTGAAAGGTGTGGGTCTTGTTTCAGTCTTCTATATGTGGCTATCCAGTTTTCCCAGCACCATTTATTGAATAAAGATTCTTTTCCCCAGTGTATATTTTTGTCTGCTTTGTTGAAGATTAGTTGGCTATATGAGGATGGTTTTATATCTGGGTTCTCTGTTCTGTCCCACTGGTCAATGTCCCTATTCTTATGCCAGTAAAAAGCTGTTTTAATGACTATAGCCTTGTAGTATAGTTCGTGAATGCTGGTAACATTGATACCTCCTATTTTGTTTTTATTGCCTAGGATTGATTTTGCTATATGGGGTCTTCTCTGGTTCCATATGAAGCATAAAATTATTTTTTCTATATCTGTGAAAAATGATGATGGTATTTTGATAGGGATTGCGTTGACTCTGTAGGTCATTTTGGGTAGTATAGACATTTTAATAATGTTGAATCTGCCGACCCATGAGCATAATATATTCTTCCATCTGTTTAACTGATGCCACAGAGATACAAGATATAATTTATGAATACTACAAAAGCCTGTATGCACACAAACTGGAAAATGTGGAGGAAATGGACAATTTCTTAGAAACACACAGCCTCCCTACACTCAACCAGGAAGAAATAGAATTCCTGAACAGACCAATATCAAGTACTGAAATTGAAACAGCAATAAAAAACCTTCCTAAAAAGAAAAGTCCTGGACCAGATGGTTTCACATCCAAATTTTACCATACCTACAAAGAAGAACTGGTGCCTATCCTGCAGAAATTATTCCACAACATTGAGAAGGATGGAAATCTCCCCAACACATTTTATGAAGCGAACATAACCCTGATACCAAAACCAGGAAAGGATGCAACAAAAAAGAAAACTACAGACCAATATCCCTTATGAATGTAGATGCAAAAATTCTCAACAAAATCCTAGCCAATCAAATCCAGGTGCTTGTGAAGAAAATAATTCATCACAGCCAAGTGGGCTTTATCCCAGGGATGCAGGGATGGTTCAACATACGCAAATCAATAAATGTAATTCACCATATAAACAGAAGCAAAAACAAAGACCATACGATCCTCTCAATAGACGCAGAGAAAGCATTTGACAAAATTCAACACCCTTTTATGATAAGAACACTCAAAAAAATAGGTATAGACGGGGCTTACCTAAAAATGATACAAGCCATATATGACAAACCCACAGCCAATATATACCAAATGGGGAAAAACTGAAAGAATTCCCACTTAGAACTGGAACAAGACAAGGTTGCCCACTATCTCCACTTCTGTCCAACAGAGTGCTGGAAGTCCTCACTATAGCAATCAGACAAGAGAGAGGAATTAAGGGCGTCCAAATGGGAGCAGAAAGATCAAACTCTCACTCTTCACTGATGACATGATATTATACCTAGAAAACCCCAAGGAATCAACCAAGAGACTCCTCGATCTGATAAATCAATTTGGTAAAGTCTCAGGATACAAAATCAATACACAGAAATCAGAGGCATTCATATACGCCAACAACAGTAAAAGTGAGAACCAAATCAAAGACTCAATTCCCTTCAAAATAGCAACAAAGAAAATAAAGTACCTTGGAATATATTTAACTAAGGAGGTAAAAGACCTCTACAGGGAGAACTCAGATTCATCTTTAAAATGAGGCCTGCAGATCAAATGAAGTCCTGAGAACTACAGGGCATCCCGCTTTAAAAGCAACATTTGTTTGTTTTCCTTCCTTACTTGCATCGTGTGCTGGACCATCCCAGTTCTGGGTACACTGATGTGTGCTTTACAGAGATGAGCCCAGGGAACCTCACTGCAACAATACAAGGTGCATATCATCCTTATTTTGCAGTTGAGGGACTCAAAGCTGAAGCGACACGATGCTTTGCCTTTGTTCTTCCTCCCTGGAGGACCTGTCCATTTTCTACACTTTTCCTCAAATCCCACACGTCCTGGCTTCCAGTTCTGGGAAATATTCCTGTATCTCAAGTCTGCGTCAACTGATGCCGGGCAGGGTGTATCTTGGGAAAATAAGAGAGATCTTTTCATGGCCCTATTTTTTGGACATACGGTTGGTTTTAATGATGTCTGCATTTTCTCTTCTCTCAGAAATGGCAAAGTGTGCCCCACAGACTGATGGGCCCATTTCTGTGTCTTAAGGGGCTTAGTGTAGGAGGCTGGGAGTAGGGAACAGAAGGAAGAAGGGGAATGGCCAGGAGCTGCTGTGTGTGGCAGACAGGCAGTTACTGACGGTCAGCAAGGACAGCAGCATGGACAAGAGTGGCTAGCACTGAGCGAGAGGCCTCGGAAGGAGGAGTCAGGACCAGGCATGCTCGTAGTCAGGGCAACATCCAGGTGGAGCCTGCCCCTGGGCCTTGGTGTGTGGCCTTCTTCCCAGGTGACTTCTCTAGGAGGCTGTGCAGCAAGGGAGGTTGAGGTAGCCTAGTGGCATGGGAGTGTCAGCCAAGCCAACTGCCCGGGGGCCATAGGGTCCAACCCCGCAGTATGACCACTCCCTTGCTTTTGGATAGATCGTCCTGCAGAGCAGCCCCAACCCATCCCCAACTCTTAAGGCTGACAGTCATCTTCTTCCCCTAAGTGTTCCCTAGGACCTGGCAAGGGTTTGTTCACTGCTGGGACCTCAAATCCAGGGTGTCACGCTGGTGCAGTTAGCTGATAAGGAGGGAGGTGGAATCTTTTAAGGAGAAAGTCATTTATTTTCTCACTGATAGGCCCACAAAAGGATGCCTTGTCTTTCACGTGGGATATAAATCCTGAACAAATATGATCTCAGTATTTTGATAACCGTGTCCAGGGTCTCTATAGGGTTAGCAGTGAGGGCCCTGTAAAGAACCCTTCCCTCCAGCAGCGCTCACTGTGGCCACTTGGTATGTTCCAGGCCGTGAGGATGCACCTTGAATGCTCTGATCCACTGAACAGCGAGAAATACGCAATGAGGTCGCAGAAGTCCCAGAGAGGAAACCAAACAGAGGGAAGGACACATGGTGCCACAAGATCTGGGGACAGAACCTCACCCCGTCTAGTATGTGAGCATCAGGATGCCCAGTGCCTTCTTAATCAGTCACTGGAGATTCCTGAGGTTTCACTGGAAAAGCAGGTTAAAATACCAAAGAGGACACCAGATGGTTTGCACTGAAGTTCCCTTTATTTCTGACAATTTCTTTACAGTCATCCACCCACATGTACCTCCCAAGCCTGAATTCCCCTCTAGGAATTCAGATTCATTTCTAACTCTATAGGATACATCTCCCCAAACATCCCATCAACTCAACAACTGCCCACCCCCCCGCCCACTCCCCATATCACTTTTCTTTTTCCTGCCCACACTGAGCAGTTGTGTCAAACTATGGCTTCTGTGCTGCTTCAGCATGCACTTACATCCTGGGCTTCAGTGTCTAAGTGCCCAGAATAAAGCTTCTGACAAGGGCACGCAGCTAGGCAGGCATGAAACAGGGGCACAGGATGGGCTCCGGGTCATAGAAGGTCCTGTCCCCACAGCGAGGACAGGGGTTGGCGCTGAACCAGACCATGCCAGGCCGCCCTGACTCCTGCAGCATCCGCTTCAGCTTGGCGTGCAGGTAGGCAAGTCTGCCCAGGTGGAGGGTGCCCCGGGTGTCCTCGTAACTCTCCAGCGGGGCAGGGTACAGCACGTGGCTGAGCCTGCTCAGCCCGATGGTGTGGTGCAGGAGGCGCTCCAGGACGGCCATGGAGATGGGGTTTCCGCAGAAGCTGAAGGTCGTAAGCTGGGAGCAGCGGCCCAGGGCAGGCAGGATGACAACGAACTGGGAGTCCATGATCCCACACTCATCTAAGTCCAGGTCCTGGAGGGTGGCAGAGGTTCTCTCCAGCAGAACTTGGAGGGGCTCAGGGCTTATATCGGTCAGGATGACGCCACTCAGACCCAGGTCCTTCAGCTGACTGATGCTGGGACACTGGGACAGACAGGTCAAGTCGGATTCTGAAAGCTGGCAGTTAGTTATCGAGAGGGTCTCCAAAGGGCTCTTCAGGCACCTGGGGAGAAACAGAGCGTTAGTGCTGGGAGCAATGGGGGGGGGGGCGGGCAGACTGCAGAGAGGCCTGTGTTACCAAAACCCAAAGTCCTCCCGAGCACGGTCAAGCCACACGATGCCACGCTGCACTGAAGTGCACGCGGGTTCGGATGGAGCCCTTGCCATGACTAATCTTCTGTGGATCTGGTCAAGCGAATGAACCAGCAAACACTTCCTCAGCTCATCTGTGAAGCAGAGTCCGACATACACCTCCCAGGCATTGTGTGCAAGAATGGCGAGAGCCTGGCCTGATGCCTCAAGCAAGGCAGGCACCGGTGAGTGGATTTTAGTATTCAGGGACACGGCTGACAATGCTTTCAACATGTGCTTCCTTCTGGCCCCTGCTTGGGCCCCGGCCTCCTCTACTGCTGTGTCGATGAGAAACGAATGGGAAACGTTCGGGGACGAAGTCGGCAACATCCCAAAGGGGCTGCCCGCCTGCAGGAGCTGCCTTAGACCTCTGCACCATCAGCAGCCCGTATCTATCACTCTTTATGATTGCTCACCCTTCCTTCCCTTCATCTCAACAATCCTGCACTTCTCACCTATTACCTGGAGTTCAAAATAAACCTTTACGGACAGGAAATTTGAGACAGGTTTGGAGGGAGAGGCTCCCGGTGAGAAAGCTAGTGGGTGCAGAGCGCACAACCTGAAACCTCACATGTGATGGGCTTTCCCTTCTTCCACGCCCTCCTCGCTTAGTTATTTGTGGTCATCTTCCTTTAAATGGGTCACTTCCTAAGGAAGAATTCCCAAAGCCACCCACGCCAGGCCCCAAGCCCCCAGCCCCATTATAGGGTTTTTCCTAGCAAGGAGTCGCTGTTAATAGCACCCATCCTAGTCTCTACCTCCCCCCTTTATCTGAGTAGTTACGTAATACCTTGCTTGGGGACAGAGAAGTAAACAAGACAATGTGACTTGCAGTGACACACTCACTCCTGCATTGTCTGCGGTGGGCATACAAAAGATGCCCATTGCTATTTACTGCAATGGAGAAGGGCTTGCTGTGGCCTGCAGAGACACCTCGCCATCCCTCACCTGAGCACCTGGTCCAGGCGGCCTTTGAGGAAGGAGATAGAGTCCAAGTAGAGCTCCTGGAGGTGGAGCAGACAATGGAACTGAGAGGTGAACTGGGCGACACACTGCTCCTCCTTCTCCGGGGACGTGGAGGACATGTGGATGTGGGAGAGGAGGAGTCTCTGTAGATTACTCATCCGGCCCAGGAGAGGAGAAAACTTCCCCAGGGTGGACAATTTCCAGGTGCAATTCACTTCCAAATCTTCGATGGAGTCCAGCTGCACCATGCTCAGGATCATCTTAATATTCTGCATGGGCATCGCAAATATCTTCAGCTTCTTACAGCACAGGTGCAGCAAACCCTTCTTCTGCTTCACTTTCTCAATGAGGTAGGTGAGCAATGCGTCTTGGGTGCCTTGCTTGAGGGACAGATCTATGACCACCTCCACAGGAGCCAAGGGCTGCTCCGCCGCCACCGAGCTTGAAGCATTCACTTTTTGCTTCTTCCTCACGGGCTGGGCCGCGGCTGGCTCCAGCCAGGAGCACACACCGAGCCTGGTTCCGGACCACACGGTCCAGAAGTCCTGATGAGCATTTTTCCGTAAATCCAGCACGTGCAGCTTCCACCTCCTGCGGGGAAAGCAGGTCATCGGCTGAGACACTTTAAGATCAACTCAGAATAAAACCACGTTACGTGTCCCAGGATCTGGGCAAGAACCAGACATCTGAGCTGCACGTTTACTCCAAACGCCAGACGCCAGTTGCCCCCTTTCCAACTGGGATCCTGGATCCTTCCCGGTCCCCACTTCCCGTACCCCTGGGAAGGAAGGTGTCTACATACATGCTCCTTCAGTCACCTCTGCATCTTAATCATCGTGCCACATCCAGAAGGCACTCCCAGAACGACCCCAGCAACGGCCACAAGCCTGCCTGGGCTTCCTCGCTGGCAGCAGAGCCTCCCGCCACCCTGGCTCCGCGCGCTCCCTGAGCCAGTCGCGCTCAGACGCGCAGGGCCCCACCGCCGGCTGGCTCGCGCCCACCTGGGGCGAACCTCCTGGGCAAGGAGCCCATCCAGCCCGTCCAGCGCAGCTTGGAAGATCTCCGGGGTAGGCCGCTGTTCCTTCATCAGTGCGCCCAGAGGGAGGCAGGCGAAGGGCCAGGCCTGCACCATGGCCTTCAGGGTCTCGCCGCGTCTCCCGAAGAAGGCCACCGCGAAGAGCGGCGGGAAGAGCTCCCCGGGCAGCTCCTCCAGAGCGGCGATGGCCAAGGCCTCATCCCTCAGCAGGCTCTGCCCCGCCAGCTCCAGGAGGCTCGGCGGGCTCATCCACACGCTCATCCTGATGAATATGCTCCGGAAGGAATCCCGAGGAAACTGGCAGGGACAAGGCACCCTCCTCAGGCCAAACGCGAACAACTCCGTCCTCTCCCCACCCTTCCGAGGGACCACCCCAGGGCCAAGGTCCCTGCACTGGCCACAGCAGGGAAGTCATCAGTCCACCCTGACTCCGCCCTGCCCTTGGTGGCCCAAAGCCACAGCCCTGCCCTCGGTGGCCCAAAGCGAGCATCTCGCTAAGCGTGGAGGAGATGGCGGGACGACCGCTGGCCCCACCCCACGCCCACCCACTGCGCCACTGAATTCTGGCCCCTGCCCAGTGAGTCCCAGGAGCCTGAGAGCGCGCCCTACCCTATTCAGGGAAGAGTCCTGATGACCATTCAAGGACAATGGCAACAGGAGTGTCACATGGCCCTGGACAGCCTCCTTCTCAGCTCCAATAAGGCAGATGAGAAAGGTAAGGCACACCCCCCATGGGTACCAACGTATTTCTTTAAAAAATTTCAAATGAGAGGCTGTAAAAGCAATGTAACAGTATTGTACAGCCTTCGGAAGTAAGAGATTAAAAAATACAAATTCTGAGCTGTGCATTTTAATGTGTCTGTTTTACGTATATTGGAATTACCATCTTGATATGGACTTCGGGGGAGGAAGTACTTCACGGTAGAACAAAGCCTCCACTCCTTTTTTCCTTCAAAATGTTATTTTTTGGCTGGGCGTTGTAGTTCACGCCTGCTATCCCAGTGCTTTGGGAGGCCGAGGCAGGAGGATCGCTTGAGATCAGGAGTTAGAGACCAGCCTGCACAAAACAGAAAGACCCTGTCTCTATAAAAAAATAAAAAATTAGCTCGGCGTGGTGGCTCACGCCTGTAGTCCCAGCTACTCGGGAGAGGCTGAGGCAGGATGATCGCTTAAGCCCAGGAGTCCACTCCAGCCTGGGTGACAAAGTTAGACCCAACCTAAAAAAAAATAAATACATAAGTGTTTTTTTAACTGACAAAAAATTATATATAATATACAACATCCTGCTTCGAAATATGCATACATCATAAAATGATTAACTTAAGCTAATTAACATATGTATTACTGCACATATTTATATAAAATCTCTTAGCAATTTTAGCTTACAATCTCTTAGCAACTTTCAAGTATACAATGCATTGTTATTAACTATGGTCACCAGAATGTATACCAGATCGCTCTCTTGAAAAAGCCTCTTCTCTTTTTTTTAAGCTTTTAGTTGGGGAAAAATAGCCTAACTAGTAAAATCACAAAACTATAAATCATACAAACTGTAATTAATGAATATGCACTAAATATTTAAAATGTAATCAAGTAATATCCCAGCTACATGTCTTCTATTTCCCAAAAAAGCTATTTGAAGAAACTACTTTAAACATCTATAAAATGGTAGAAAATCAAAATGTCTGGGACTCAACACAAAGAAATGATACATGTTTGTATATCCTCGTTACCATAATTTGATTATTACACACTGTACACATATATCAAAATGCCACAGGTACCCCATAAATATGTACTATTATATATCAATAAACAAATAAATCCTAAAACCAACAACATGTTTGGGGTTAAGGCAAAATTACATGTAGAGGAAAGCACAAAACCTGCTCATTTATAAAGAAGGAAGAGCGTCTACGCAGCGCTGGCCTGCGTGGCCCGTGGAGACGCTGGCTGACAGTGAGGGCTGACTCTGGATGACAGCGACCGCCTCCGGCTCGGCTCACCAGACCCAGGTGTGGCGCTGGGAGCCGTCTGCTCAGACCTCCAGGGGGGGATTCCACAGCATTGGCTCCAGCGCTCCGGCCTCTGGGTCGGTCCTCTGGCCCCCAGAAGCTGTTGCAGGCCCTTTCAGGCCGGCACACAGCCCCCCAGCCCCAGGCGGCCAAGGGGAGAGCCCTGATTACATCACCCGATCTCCATCCAGGGAATCCTGGTTTGGTTTTTACTTTCTCCAGATTCAAAACTGATTGAATTGTATGTGCATTCATGGAAGGGAAAAAAAAGAGGGTGGGGGGGACCCATGTAAATCCCCAAGTCACAAGTTGTCACTTATACTTGATGCTCCCTAACACAGCCAACCATGTGCCCATTCAGGGAGGACAGAGGTCCAACTGAGGGATGCCTGGTCTTCCTGACCTTGAAGGTCACGGAGGTTGGGTCAAAATGACAACTAGCACCTGGCTAGGAGAAAGGGCGGGCGTTTGTGATGGGACCGAGTGGATGACCAAGACAAGGTAAAGCATGCTCTGCTGGGGGAGCTGAAAGACTCTGGTCTAGACGGAGTTGAGAAAGCAAGAGGGGAGTGGCCAAGAAACAGGGCAGGCCCAGTAAACCCAAGGCCATCACTGAGGCAGGGAGGGCCATCCAATTTTCCTCCCTCCCTGGACGGCAGCTTTTCGTCCCAGAAAGTCAGGATCCTCTCAGCCAACAGGCTTGAGAAGACTAAATCTAGGAATGTGGGCTGGGAGGGGCCACAGGGTAATATGGCTGACCTAGGACAGCAACGTTTTCAACTCTGAACGCCACTGAGGGATGAGATCTGTGGATTCTTTGGGAACTTGGAGCCACCGAGAGAAATAAGCATGGAACGAAAGCACAGATCCTCGTCATCAAAGAAGCTACCAGAAGACCTTGCCTTTAGAGCTCGGTGTCCTCCTCCAGATCCGGACTGTTCACAGGCAGCAGCTCAGACCCAGGCATTTCCCAGAGGCCTTTACCCGAAACACGATCTCCAACCGCCCCTTCCCAAGTGTAGGTGATAACTGACGTTTCCTCGATCCTCGGCAACAGCTGACGCAAACGCAGCCTCATAAGGGTCCTTCTCGTCCCCTCAGCTTCGCAGGTCAGAGGCTCAGATGGGAGAGGCATCGGACACGCCACGGATTAAATTCATTTTCTTCTCTCTCTCTACTACCTTTTCCCTCACAAAATTTGAAGCTACGTTTAGCATTTAAGGATCTGCCAGTTTTTATTCCCATCCTGGGCTGGCTCACACACTGGTTCTCTGGAAGTTTCAGAACACCAGAGAATTCTCCAGGCCACTCTCCGTCCCGTGCACGGTGATGCCCCCACGGTTCTTGTTCTCCACTGGCCAGGATCCAGCTGGGACTGTTTCGGGGCCTGGCTGCGTCGGCCCTGGCCTGGGTGAGGAGGCTGGGAGTCCCTGAAGGATGTTTTCCATTCTGGCATTTTCTGGAAACTGCTTTCTCCAAATTTCTACCCTCAATGCTAACAACAGCCTTTGTGAAAGCTGTGTCAAACTGGACTGTGTTCTACAGGCTTTACTTTAACTCCCAAGCAGATGAGTTTACTAATCGGCTGCAGGAGACAGCGATTAGTAACCAAGGCCAAGGTCCATGTCCCTGACCACTGAGCACCCACTGGGCACAGAAGAGGTGGTGGCAGTTCTCATTCAGAACCTCAAATAACCTTCATGGAAAATCTAAAGTTCACTGCCATTTTCATTTTTAGCCCGGTGAACCTGAGACTCTGTCAGGGTAAGGACCTGCTCAGATCCATGCAGGGAGTAACTGGTACCCGCGTGCGAGGGGTTTAGATGGATGTGTGTCTCCACCCCCTCCAAAAGAGCTGGCTGATAGACTTCATGTGAACCACGGGAGAACAGGAAAGTTGCACAAGTCTATAAAAGCTTGGGAAGTTTCTACGGGATCCCAGCTTCCAGGAGACCCAAGGAGGCCAGGGGAACCAGGATGAAGTGTAAGATGAACACTGTCCCCGTGAGGCAGAGGACACTTCTCTGCCCACCTCTATGCTGTGATGGAGGAAGGAGCACATCTGCTCAGGGGTGCTGTCCTTCCTCCCAGTATCGGTGAGCAGTGAAAAAACAGGCTGGCTGGACACGGAGGCTCAGGCCTATAATCCCAGCACTCCGGGAGGCTGAGAAAGGAGGACTGCTTGAGGCCAGGAGTTTGAGACCAGCCTGGGCAATGTAGCAAGACCCCATCTATATTAAAAAAAAATCCTATGGCCCAGCAGAACTCCCAGGGTCCAGGCATGGATTTAGGGGACACTTCTGCTATGTCCTGGTCACTGGTTCTCACAGTCCTTGTTGGCTGCACAGGTCAGAACAGCCTCTGAGCTCATCTTGGGGGTGTCCTGCACCCCCTCTTCCAGTCACAGAACCCCAGTGGGGATCCCCAAGCATGTTTCTGTGCTACTGGTTTGCCAGGGTGGCCCTCTCATCTGCAACCCTGCAATGTCAACTCACCTCCCCTATTGCCTGGGACGTGGTCTAGATGCTGGGAGACCCCCCTCCACTGCCATTTACAGAAATCAAAGAATTCTTCCCAATCCTACTATGCTATTTTGGAGAATACAAGCCAGAAGGTGAAGGGAAAAAAGCCCGGCTGTTCTTCTGGATCCAAAGAGGCACGGGGAATGCAGGAGGACGCCCCTTCCTGGGCTCCGCAGGAAGACCCTAACAGCCGGGTCTTCTGTTGAGAGGCCTGGCGACCAGTCCGGACGCCAGCAGCTGTCCCGTCTCAGCCGCTGCACAGACAAGATTCCACCCGGGATCCAGGACGTCTCTGTTATCCCCAGAGTCAGGTCTCTGATACGTTTTGCCCTAGTTGCCTTTTTAAAAATCTAAGGTCTCTGTTGACCCTTCCTGTCCCCTCTCTAGTACTCAACAGGCTCTGGGGCACTTCAGAGCCAGTAATCTCCAGACCTACACATGGTAAGGTCACCTGGGTCCAGCCAGTCAATCCCAAGAGATGTGCCTTTCGCGGCATGCTGGGAGGGGAAGAGTCTGGCGACTCACTCCAGGCTGGGGGGAGCAGGGGGACTCAGGAAGGAAGAGGGGCGCCGGGCAGGGAATGAATGGCCCAGAGGAGCAGATGTGGAGCCAAGAGTGAGATGGAAGGAGGGAAATGGCAGCAGAGGAGGCCAGGTCTTCTGGCTCTCATGGAACTGTGTCCCTTAAAGGCTGGGGACTTGTGCCTGAGTCCAACTAGGGACACTATGAGCCTAGATTTGGGGAGTGGGAGTGTCCTGAAGGCCTGATTTGTTTGCCCTGGCCTGGGTGAGCTGCTGGTGGGGGTGGCTGTCCCCTCGTGCCCACCCCAAGGGCAGAGGCAGTCCAATGGAGTATGGGGTAGTGAGGGGAGGGAGAGAGGGGCGCACAGATGCTGGTGGCAAAGATGAAGGAGAGGTTGGGGGGGGGTCCAGTCTTGGCATTTGTCCCGGAGGATTGAGCTTTGGGACTTTTGCACTTTCTCCTCCTCCTCCCTCACCATAGCCTTATCAGACTGTGAGGACTGTACTTTTCAGGAAAGAGCAGGAGAGAATGGAATCTGATACCACGTCCCTGTCATTCAACTGACCCTAAATCTCCAAGCCACAGGAAGGTCACGGTGGCTGGGAGTAAAAGCAGGGAGCGACAGGCTGTCTGGCACTTTCCAGTGGAACAAAGAAGGGTAGCAGTGAGTCTCAGGCACGAGCCTCACATTTCACTTAAAAAAACATCTTCTGGGTCCTTGCAGGGGCACTCAGGCAGGCCGGCCCTGGGGACACGTTCACTGGCGAGTGTCTGGCACAGCTGATCCTCTCGCCTCCGTTTACTCAAAAACTCTTACTGATTCAGGGAACATCAACTGTTATTCTGGGTGACAAGAAGGAACACCCAGTGACGAAGTCATGGTCTTCCTCTCAGGGTAGGTCTGAGGCCTGGACCTCACATTCTGTTGAGCAGATCAACGAGAATCAAGCTGAAAAATACATTAATTACAGGCTGACCTCGCTTTGCAAGGCAGAGCAGGGCCACAAAAAAGACTGTGCAAGTGGGAATTGTACAAAGCAATCTTAACAACCACAGGTAAAGTTAAGATTTTCCCGTGGCCATTAAAATGATTTTTTTTGTCAAAGCACTGAGAACTCTATTAGTTATAAATGTACACAGAAATTTTGAAAAGAAAAACTAATTGAGTACACTGTGATTTTAAATACTGAGAATGAAAATGTTTTTGCTGCTTTGTAAAAAAAAAAAAAAACTATATTTTTGTAGGGACAGGGTCTTGCTCTTGCTCAGGCTGGTCTCAAACTCCTGACCTCAAGGGATCCTCCCACTTCAGCCTCCCAGAGTGCTAGGATTACAGGCATGAGCCACCACGCCCGGCCTGCTTTGTAAAAAAAACTTACTGAGAGTAGTAACTTTCGATACGAAGTAGAAGCGGGCACATTTCCTATGCCTTGGTGAATTGTCACGCTTCATTCCAAGTTTGGATCATCTTCCAACAATTTACCCTTGTACTTTCTATGTTGTGACATAAAAAAGGTATTCTGAGAGGGACTTTTAAAAAATATTTGTATTGTTTTTTTTAGAGACAGGGTCTTGCTCTGTCACTCAGGTTGGGGGTACAGTGGCATGATCATAGCTCACTGCTGCCTAGAACTCCTGGGCTCAGGTGATCCTCCCACCTCAGCCTCCTGTGTAGCTGTGACTACAGGTGTGCTCCACCATCCCCAGCTAATTTTCCTAATTTTTTGTAGAGACAGGGTCTTGATATATTGCCCAGGCTGTTTTACAGCCTCCCAAAGTGCTGGGGTTACAGGCGTGAGCCACTGCGCCCAGCTGAGCGTGCCTTTAACATGAAGATTGTTGCCACTGTCGCTCTCTCTGGGACACCTTCAATCTTCATCCTTCTAGTCATAAACTTTTCTCTTTATTTACTCTTCTCTGAGAGCTGTGGGATGTGAGCGTGAAGCTGGTGGAGCTGGACACTGTATCACAATGACACAGTGAAATAATTCCTCATGTCTGGCAGAGCTAAAAAAGTGACCCAAACATTTTGCTTTCCTGGTATTATTAGTTCTTTTCTTAAGACGTGTAGCACTAGCAGTGGGTTTCCATTGCTTCTTCCTTTCCGGGTGCAGTAACTGATGCTCAGAAGCGTGAGTCACATGACCTGAGTCACCAAGTAGGCCATGGGAGGTGACATGGGAACACAGCCCCTGGGCTCCTGGTCGAGGGCCCCCTACAGCCGCACACTTGTGCCAGCCTGCTGTGTGTGCGCCCGGAGAAGCTGAGTTGGAAAAGACGCCTCACTCTCTCAGTCTGAGTGTGGCCACCGTGGAGACAGTCAGGCAGGAGAGCAGCAGGCTTCATTTAGCGAAGTCCCTCACGGCAGCAGTCCAAGGGTGCAGCAGGTCTGGGTTCAGCCCAGTTCCCTGGGCCCTCCAGGCCTTCCAGGAGGGGGAAGGGGGACATGATATTCCAGCGGGAAATCCTGAAAGGCCGGCGCTCACTTGCAGAAGCTCCTCAGCCCAGCTGCTCTGTCTCCCTGGGGCGCCAGACTCAGAGCAACTCTGGGGACACGCCTCCCCAGCCCGCCTCCCCTGGCCAGCCACGAGGCAGCAAATGCGCTGGTGAGGCCTCACCCACAGGGGCTGCAGGGGAGCCCCTCAGACACTGGCGCAGGCATGAGGAGGGCTGAGGGAGCCCAGCCCAGCCCTGGGGCACCGCGTCCTCCTTGCTCTCTGCACAGGGGAGAAATCCAGAGGGGACCTTCTGGCAGACCAGGGCTGACCCTCCAGTCTTCCCAAGCTCCTGTGAGGCCATGACCCTGCCGGCTCCTCTCAGCATGCCCTGACATAGCCATTCTCAGAGTGTGGGGCTGTGAGACACCAGCCCCCACCGCCTGCTCTGGGGGCAGCAGCAACACGGGGAGTTAAAGCAGGTGTCCTAATGCCAACGGCACCTGCGCGCTGCCCCACACCCAACCCTAGTTGATTCTTATAAAAAGATAATGGGACAAATGAAATGCTCTTTTGGGGAAAATGACTTGAGAAAATAAAGGTGGCTCCTGCTTCTTCCTCTTCCCGTGAGGGGCCTCAGGATGCAGCTCCCTCTGGCTCCTCAGCAACAAGGACAGGTGACAGGGTTTCTCCGCGCCGGAGACGGCTCAGGGGGCCACCTTACCTGACGACGTCTTCCGTCCACTCTGGTCCAGTTCAGTCTGGCCTCAGGCCCTCCAATGCTTGGTTTTGCGGGTCTCAGTCACGCGTTTCCACGCACATCTGAGAGCAATAACCAAAACGCTCCCCACACAAGGAGACTGTTCTAACACATGTATGTAGGGGACAGTGGCCTCCCGCGCAAACGGCAGCGCATACTGCTGGGGAAACGGACAACTGGAGACTGGATCCTGATCTTTTAGGCGGACTCTCTTCATCTCCAAACCTGAGCACCAGCGCCCAGCCACAGTGACCCTTCCCGCGACGACACTACCCACCGTCCCGCAGCTACATCTCTGGCCCTGTCCGGGAAGCCCAGGCCGTGGCCGAGCCGCCGCCCCCACGTCCCGGCACCTCCTGCGGGGCCGATTCCTAGCGCAGCACCCCCATTGCAAATGCACACCCCATCCGCTCAGCCCAAGCCGCAAAGACGCCTCGGTTCGGGGAATTTTCACGGCTAAAACCCGCAACTGTGGCCAGTTTTCCCGAGCAGGTGGCCCGGGCCGAGCCGGGTCGCGCACGATTACTTCGTCCGGTCTTCGACTCTATCCTGTGATAACCCATTCTCAGACGGAAAACGGGGCCCCTGGGAAGCGGGTGCTACCGGGAGGAGGGCAAGGCCACCCCGCGGGAAGGTGGAGAAACAGGGGCTTGCACTCACGTCTTTCTCGGACCCGCGCACCCCGCCGCCACGTGCTCGCGCCGCCGGGTGGGAAGCACCAGACCGCGACCGCGCGCCGGGCGGCGGGAGGGGCGGGGGACAGCCTCCTCGGCCAATCCGGGTCCGCTTTCCTTCCGGGCAAATCTCACGAGATCAGGGGGTCGACCCGGGAGTGCGGAAGGGGGTTTTCAAGGCCTGGGAAGGGTGGAGAGAGTTGGAGGGGGGAGGGGGAGGTTGGGCACACGGGAAAGCGGGAGGGGGCAGGAGAGGGGTGGCGCCTATGGCCACACCGCGGAACACAGGGGTGGGGGTGGAGGTAGAGGATGGGGAAAGTGGGGGGGAGTTGGGGGTGGGGGATGGGGATTGCAGTGCTGGGATGGGGAGGGAGAGGTCGAGGTCTGGACTCCCTCCTCCCTGCAGGGCCTGTGCTTCCAGCGTCCCTTGCCCTTGGCGCGATGCGAGTGCGGGGTGCAGGAGCCAGCCCCGGGGTCCCCTGAGCTAGGGTCCTGGCCCAGCCCACCTCCCTCCCACGACGCTGCGTGGCCGGCCCAAAGCCCCCTACCTCCTGGCCCTGGCCCACTTACGTAACCCCCGGGGCTGAAAAACGCCGCCCGCCGGCAATTCAGCTAACGGCGCCCTCTCCCTAAAGCGCGCTTTCCTCAGTCTTCCCCTGGGGCTTGGTTTTCCAGAACTTTCTCCTAAGTCCTCCCGCGCTCCCTAGTCCGTGAGATTACGTGGAAGAGAAATGTGTTTGTGCCGCTCCCCTCCCCCAAGCCTTCCAAGGACGTCAGCCGTCGCTTTTACCAAAGTCAGGGCTTCTCCTCTCTGTCACCAACCAACACCTTGGACAAGTCCCGCCGGGGGAGCGGGTCGGGGAGGTCCGCGAGGTCCAGCAAGGCGCAGGGCCTGGTCTCGGTCAACCAGGGCTGACCCTGGTCCGCCCGAGCTTGCGTCCCGGGCCAGCAGGGGGCACCGAAGCCCGGCGTGAGCAGGGACTGAGGCAAGGCCCAGGTTTGGGCGCCTGTTTCCTCCCCGTCCCTCTAGGGCGAGGAAGTCAGGCTTCTGGAGAGGCGGGAGGATCTTTCCTGGTGAAGGGAGGCGGGAGGCCCCATTCAAGGCCATCCCTCCGTGGGGATCTTTTGGAATCCTTGAATTTACCTTTGTCGGTCAGGCCTGGGAAGTACTCAGCCACCACAATTTGTGTTTTTCTAAAAGGGGTTTGGCGTGGAGTTGGGTCTGATACTGTGTCCCTGTCATCTGAATGGCCCCAAACGGTAGCTAAGAGCAAGAGCAGATCTGCCCTGCCATTGCGCCAGACTTCCTCCTGCCCGTGAACTAACAGAGCTTCAGGTTCCCAGCTGCACAGAGGAAGGGATGAACGAACTAATGAATACATAGGTACATACACATGAAGTCATTGCACTGATCCCTCTTGGACCTGCGATTGTCACATAGGACAGGGCTTATAAAAAGCTTTATTTTCACCTGGAAATGGAGACTATCAGCTTCCTCCACCCTCCTCTCTCCTGATGCATTCAACAAACATTTGTTCTTGAGTGGGTAGTGCATGCAACACTCAGGGATTTAGCAGTCTGTGGCCTTATAAGGTTTAGGGTGAAAACAAATGAAACAAAAACCTACAAAACAAGAAGACCATTGTTTTAAAGTGGCAATCGTAACTCATTCTCTGCAGAAATCGAATAGGCTGGTAGGAAAGTTACAAAGGCAGGCGGACACCAGGCAGGGTTGCTTGAGACCCCTTTTCTGAGACCCCAGCAGGAAGCGGCCATAGGAGCTTGAAGGGATTGAGCTCAGGGTGTGGGGACAGGCCGCACAAATCCTGATGTAGTGAAATGCTGATGAGGCAGAGGGGAGGCTGATGAGAAGGCAATGGATGGATTGCATCGTGTGGGACTTGAAGAGGAGATCCGTTTAAATATTGTGCATTGTAATTTTCACGATTTGATTGCTGTCACTCCACGGCAATCCGCGTGTGAACAATGAGCTGGAGAGGAGCAAATGTGGAGGAGGGGAGAGAAGTGAGTGAGCAGGACCTTGGTTTGGGCTCACAGGACAAACAAAGCATGGTGGTAGAGGTCCACAGAGGAGGAGGGCGGATGGGAAGAAGTCATGGTGTAGGCAAGTTGCAGGGCATGAGGGAGAGAGGAGAGTGGAGGATGACTTCAGGGTGTCAACTCGGCCAGACAGGGCTGGTCCTTTCTTTTATGGTGATGGGTGTGTCAAAGCTGCAGATCTCAGGATGAACTCACTCTCTGTCAAACCCAAGTAAACCAAAGTCCGGAGAACACAAAGTGGGAGCTCATGTTTACATGTCTGAGATAAAGACTGTGTCAGGACTTTTAAAAATAATCCGCTAGCACAAATTCTTTCTTTAGGACTGCAGCAATTCAGGTAAGATGCTCTCAAAAAAGACCTGCCTAGTAACAGCATCTCCACCGATGAACTTTGACACCAGCTCTGGCTTTGCGTTTCCAAAACCAGTGATCTCTGTTTCCAAGCAGCTATGTGAACTTCTCCTTTGATGGGATTAAGACCACTGGGATTTAGGGATGCTATGTCTGAGGTTGTGAGAGGAGAGGAGGTGAAGGAATTGCCTGAGCAGAAGCCTGAAATAATTGCAGATGTTAACTGCCTAGTTTGGGGACACATGTCAGCGATCTGGGAGTACAGCAAAGCATGCTCCAACCTAAGAGCCTAAGGGGTCTCATGCACGAAAAGCCGCAGGCGGCCTGACATGAAAACTTCTCATGGCTGTAGAGGTAGCTTGCAATGTGTCAGCAGGGGAGAAGAGCCTCAAGGCTTCCATAGTGTTTGAACCGTGGGCCAAGCTCCTCTCCCTGTCTCTCAACAATGCCTCAGTTAGCGTAAAACCAGTCTCCTCATGGAAAGCATGTAGTTTCCTTGTTCCTTGATCAAATGGGTCACAGCTATTGACATTAAAGATTGATATCTTGGGATAAAATCAGTTTACCTTGATCAAAAAGGTTGTACCAACTAAAGAATTATGTGTTTTTCACTTCTAGAAAGGAGAAGGAAATTAGCTAGGACACCTTGGGATTTTGGAGGGAGCCCTGAAACCTTTGATCATTGTATTCTGTGATTTTTTTTCACACGAGATCATTGTATTTTGCAACATGGCAAAGAGAATAAAAAGCAAGTGCAGGCCAGGCGCGGTGGCTCACGCCTGTAATCCTAGCACTCTGGGAGGCCGAGGCGGGCGGATTGCTCAAGGTCAGGAGTTCAAAACCAGCCTGAGCAAGAGTGAGACCCCGTCTCTACTATAAATAGAAAGAAATTAATTGGCCAACTAATATGTATAGAAAAAATTAGCTGGGCATGGTGGTGCATGCCTGTAGTCCCAGCTACTTGGGAGGCTGAGGCAGGAGGATTGCTTGAGCCCAAGAGTTTGAGGTTGCTGTGAGCTAGGCTGATGCCATGGCACTAACTCTAGCCTGGGCAACAAAGTGAGACTCTGTCTCAAAAAAAGCAAGTGCTAGGTTTCAGTCACTGCCACCTTGGCACCAGAGTGCTGGTGGTCCCCTGACCTCCCCTCTGTCTTGTTATTTCTGTGTCTATGTTTTTGTTTCTCTCATCTCTTGCAACACAGTCGGCCAGGGGACCCTATCTTTATTGGGGACATCATGAATCCCAATGCTCCTTTTTCCAATGAAAGCTTCCCTTTATCCTCCTCTCTTCACACTCATCTGTGCCTTGCTGTAGCTGTGAATCTCGGGTTATAATCTTCTTTGCTAATTCCTGAATAAATTCAACGTATTTGAAGATATTTTTTCTATTGGTGGTTCTTTTTTGTTGACAGTTGGAACCGAAGAGCAAAAGTGTGAGGGCAAACATAAAGTGATTTGCTAAGCTCCTGGTCCTTTTTTGGACAAGACACACAAATAACAGTGAGATATCTGTAATATTTAACTTTTTTCCCAGCTTTATTGAGGCATAATGACAAATAAAAATTGTATATATTCAAGGTGTACAACGTGATGATTTGATACACATACTGATTGTTTGATGATTGCTACAATCAAATTAGTTTTTTTGTTTTTTGGTTTTTTTTAGACAGAGTCTCACTCTGTTGCCCGGGCTACAGTGCTATGGTGTCAGCCTAGCTCACAGCAACCTCAAACTCTTGGGCTCAAGCAATCCTTCTGCCTCAGCCTCCCGAGTAGCTGGGACTACAGGCATGTGTCACCATGCCTGGCTAATTTTTTATATGTATTTTTAGTTGGCCAGTTAATTTCCTTCTATTTTTAGGAGAGATGGGATCTTGCTCTTGCTCAGGCTGGTTTGGAACTCCTGACCTTGAGCAATCCTCCCACCTCGGCCTCCCAGACTGCTTGGAACAATCAAATTAGTTAACATAATCTTCACCACTCAGTTAGCATTGTGTGTCTGTGTGTGTGTGGGGGGGGTGAGGACGCTTAAGATCTCCACTCATAGCAAATTGCAAGAAAATAATAAAGTGTTATTAACTGTAGTTGTCATGCTGTACATTAGATCACCAGGACTTAGCATCTTAAAACTAAAGTTTTGTGCCCTTTGACCAACATCTCTCCATCCCCTGGATCCCCAGTCCCTGGCAACCTCCATTCTCCTCTCTGCTTCTATGAGTTGCACGTTTTTAGACTCCACATATTAGATCATATAGTATTTGTCTTTCTTTGTCTGGCTTGTTTCACTTAGCATGATTCCCTCCAGATTCAGCCATGTTGTTGAAAATGGCAGGATTTCCTTCTTTTCTACGAGTGATGATGTCTGTCTGCAATATTTGGAAGCAAAATGCAGGTCACATGAATGATTATCTAATGTAATTCTAGTCATGTGAAATTGTATATGAATATAACATTCATTTATCCATTGCTTCAAGTTCTTCACAATCTTACACCATATTCCTGGGGCTCTGCTGGGCCTGGAATGGGGAGTGAAGATTACAAGGGCCACACTCTCCAGAGATATATGC